TTTCTCGTTTATTCTTATTTCTCTCCTTTGTTCTTGTAAATGGGGTCTTCATTATATCTTCTGACTGTTGTTTATATAAATGGAGATTTTAGATGTCTGTGACTAACTTTATACTCAGTGCCTTTATTAGTTTTAAGAGACTGTCAGTTGACTATCTTGAGTTTTGCATTATCATCTACAAATACTAATTTTACCTCTTCCTCTCCATTTTTAATGCTTCTAAATTCTCTCACATCTGTTAAACAATTCTCTGCTAGATTTTTAAGTTCCTTGAGGACATAAATTACAATAGTATATTGTGTTAACCTTTCAGAGAACCAGATAAATGCTCTGCAAAGAATGGTTTATGACTAACCCCTATTATGAAAATAGAAACACAAGGTGCCTGCTAAATTTTGAATCTGCCTCATTCATTTATTCATACCATTTTTGTCAGGTTCTACCCAAAATTAAACCAACACTGATTTTCTTCTAAAAGTAGATTAATCAATTCTGTCCCTTCAGAGCATCTAATTCCTTTTCCCCCCATAATAAAATCTCTTAAGGTGTCACATTAGTATTTTATAACAAAATAGGCTGTTAACTTCTAAGTTTTTTCTTGTATTTACATATAGGATTGTAGGCAAAAACTAAAATTTTTAGTCTTCAAGTTTTCTTAAACATTCTTAATGACGGTCATATTATCCATAGCAGTTTTCCTCAAGCTATTTACGACTTCATTTAAAAAATTATACACGTTAGGCATTATATGAGGGAGAAAATGGCCATTAAAGCTTAAAATCAAATAGAACCCAAACCAAACATGCTTACATCTATGAAATGGAAGATTAAATTCTATAAACTATACAAGAAAATCAGTCTCCTTATTTTATGGTTAGAAATCTTAAAATATTTCCAAACAATAACAGATACCTAGATAGGAAGGCTATACCAGTCATGTGTTCATCTTAAAAATACTTCACAAATCAAGTTCCACTTCATAAAGTGAATGTTTCTTTCCCAGGCCCTTTTCAAATATTGTTCCATAATATAAACATGAAGGACAGCAATACTGTGATACAGTGAAATAAGTTGAAAATTTAGGAAAGTAAACTGCCCCACAAAATGGATAGATTTTTCTCAGAGGCCCACAAGACACCATCTCCCAGCCTAAGTCTAAAGCTCTTCTCAAACCTTATGATGTTCTTTTGCTACTTCAATAACCAAATCTTTCTTGTACAAAACTATCATATATTGACTGTGTGCATATGACACTCCAACAACTCTCAAAAAAGGAGGCATACATTTTCAGATGTGTTAATGCTTAAAAGATTACCATTAGCTGATCAAAGGCAGATAATTGAGATTTGGAGGTCTAACCACTGAGTTCATAGAAACACCAGGATGTGACTCTTGGCCACAATACTCAAGTGAAATAAGTGGGATTAGTGTTAATTATTTCTCATTTGGACAAATAGGAAAATGTCCATCTTCCAGGCTAACCAATGGCAGTGAAAACCTGAGACTATGACTCAAAGTTCTTTTATGCTTTGCCTTTTCCCCTGACCATTCTGTTTAATTCTCAGTTGGGGTACCCAATCAGGCACTTGTGGAAGCTCTTTGTAGCATTTCATTGTGTGTACATTAAAATGGCATATAAATTGAGTTAATACAGTAAGTGTAATAATTTGTTTTGAATATCCCATTTAAGTTGAATTATGGCATGTACAATTTCGAATTGCAAAGCAACAGAAAACAGCAAAATTATCTTGAAAAACAAAAATTAAAAACTTTATATCCTTTTTAAAAAACAAATCTCTACCAGAAATTTAAGAATTTTTGGACAGTAAGTCCTCCTACCTAGTTTTCAACGCTTGACCAAAAAATAGTGGATACCTCTAGGTCTCTAGTTCTAGTGTATTCACAAGAGAACAGGCAGACCCCTAATCGGTTTCAAAGAAACAGAGAGCAGAAATGGTAAGGGAATCCAGGGACAGCATTAGTAAAAACTGTGGTACGAGAGATTTGGAATTCTTCACACAAATGTCAGGAAGCTGGAAACGTGTGTAATTTATTGATCATAGAAAAAGACTTTTTTTTTTAGTTGACTCTGAATGAAGTATTAGTTAACCTTAAGTGACTAAAGGTCATAGAACCAATCTTCTCCTCCTCTAATGAGACTCTGAGCTGACTTTAATGTTGGCATAAGTTGTTATTAGGCTAGGGACATCTTCAAACTTATTAAATATGAGTGTGTTTTATTTTCCTTTTAATAGAAGTACTTGGCCTAGGGCTCCTTTTTAATTTTACCACTACTGCAAATACTGGGATTCATTGATAATGTATTTTTGAATGGCTGTTTCTGGGTTCTTAGGTTTTAAAATTCTCAATCACAAATCTCATCAATTTTTATTTCTCTAATTAAATCTGCCCATACTCCTAGGATTCATTATCAATAGAAAAGGACAAAAGTTACTTACCAGATTTACTGGATCTCTCAACCAACACTACAGTCTAAGCTTTAGCTCTCAGTTCTGCACTTAAGGAAATCCCTCAAAATATTTAATATATAATCATATCCCTGTCAAACACTCCACAGATGAGAACTGCTTAAACATGGCAATTACTTTACAAATAATTCTATATCCAGTAAACCATTTTTTAAATTTTTGATTGGAAGAGGCAACAGCACATCTTCAGTCCTAGCAGCACAAGAGAACCAAATGCTGAGGAATAAAAACTGTCAAACGTCAGCCTAATCAAAGCAACATCCTGAAGATTAAAAAAAAAAAAACCCTTTGCCGTGGAGTAGATTCCGACTCACAGCGACCCAACAGGACAGAGCAGAACTGCCCCGTAGGGTTTCCGAGGGGCAGCTGGTAGATTCGAACTGTTGACTTTTTTAGAAGCTTAACTCTTAACCACTGTGCCACTAGGGAAAAGTATTCAGTAAACTGTTGGCCTAGAAAAGCTTCAAGAGGTCCCCAAGACTAATCCATTGACTTTAGGTGACTACTCAACTATCCTTAACATATAAAGCTTTAAAAACCTCCCGAGAAGAATCTACCATTAACAATGCCTTATCTGGTTGTCTCCAATACAGTTCATCCAAAATTATGCCCTTCATAAATACAATTCTTGTGCCACTACCGCTGGCCTTAGAATCTGTTGATGGGGAGGAAATACTTCTGCCAGTTCTTCAGTTAAAGGGCATTTTCAGATTTTAAAAAATCAGTATGGGACTCAGGAAACAGTTTTTGTTATAGTTTTGGGACAAGATAGGCCATTTGTCAGAGACAGCCAAAAGTTCTCAAAGAATCTTGTTCTTGCTATACAGTTTTTTTCTTAACAGGGTCTTACATTTTGAAGAACTGTCATTTGATCATTAAAATTACACCCACTCCTCACTTATTGACATGGTTAGTTTCCAAAGACCAGGCTGTTATGTGAAAATTGGCATTATGCAAAAACAGCAGATGACCACATCAGATCATAAATGGAGGATGATTACATCATTCCACCCTGCCAAACTACATCATTACATAACTGCCACACCACTGAGAATCATGGTCCAGCCAAGCAGCACATAACCTTAACAAGCACAGTCAACGTTATTCACACCTCACATCTTGGCAGAAAATAGTCAGATAATACATTTATTACTATCGTCATAACTGTGAAATGTTGGATAACAAGATTGTCAGTGAGGAGCAGGTGTATTTACATTTTGTAATATTAAGAATGAAGATTAATGGAAGTTACTTCATAATCCTACAAATTAAATTTTTGATTGGAAGAGGCAGCAGCACAGCATTAGTCCTGGCAGAGCAGAGAGCCAAATGTAGAGGAATATAAGAACTGTCAAATGTCAGCCTCATCAAGGCAGTATCAGGAGGGGGCATGCAAGAGGCATATTCCTGGCTCTTCAGCTGATTTTTTAAAATGGATTTCATTGTTTTCTCCTCCAAAAAGGCCAAGAGGGGACCTAGATAATTTAATACTATAATATCAAAAATATCCTTTAAAGACACTGGAAAGAATATTAGAAAATTCAGATATTCATTAAGCTATTTTTTGGGCCCAGATCTTCAATTCCAGGTAGGGAAAAAAAGGACCCATGCTCCCAAATTGCCAAGTGCATTTAGAAATACACAAACAAATTAAAGCAGTATTGGTTTAGAAGAGAAGCATTTGTTTAAAATTGGAAACACTTGAGTATTTTTTTTTTCATTACATATAACACTAAAATTACTTCAATTTAGGAAAATTTTGCTCAAAAATCATTGTGATTAATTTGTCTTCTTGAAAAGGGAAAGGCCACCAAAGTCAGACATAATGTGTAGCATGAATTTTGGTCCACAATCTTTAATATATTACTCTGTCAAAGATGAATAAAAGTAACAGAACAGCAACATACTAGGCTTATTGTCTATTATGAAGTCAAGTAAATACACACGCTCAATGAATCCGAGCTTTTAATTATTAAAATCTAAGTAATGGATTTTGTAATTCAGAAAAGAGTACTTAAGCATCTACTCAGTCGCTGTATCTTTAGATATTAATGTGAAGCTTTTGCTGGGCACCACCAATCTACACCCTTTGCTAGAAGATCTCAGCATCTGAAGTGATCACATATAAGACCTGGAAAAGTCTGGCAGACAAGTCAAATGATAAATTTCAAGTTAAAGGCACAGATCAAATTACCTCTGGAGATAATGTAAGTGGTAATTATAAGGGTAAACTATATTATCTGGAGATCATATAAGATCAATGATCTAGATTCCTGGTAGCATTTATAATATAAAAATTGCAAATTATGTACTAAAAGAAACAAATAGTATTATGATTTCATTTATTTTGTTCAAATGTCCTAAATATTTGGCACAATGCATAGCTTGCCTTATTTAGAAACTACTTGATAAAAGTTATGGATTTTTAAAAGTGTTTTAAAAAAGTTATCAGGTTATAAAGTTTTATATCTGACTTCTATACTATTCCTCACTACTTTCCTTCCCTACTTCCCCAATTTCATCTTTTCTCCCTGCAAATCTAAAAATTAAATATCCTTTCTATTTTAATGCCAAATTAAAAGTACTCCACTAATAATAAGAAGCTAATATTAAACAAAAGATTTCCATTTAGCTATAACAGTCATGGCTTTAGGGTATTCTCAGGAGATACCCCAGAATAAAACAAATTCAAACACTCATATTTCATATAATAATATGCTTTTTTAAGATTACTGCTTACTCAAAAATTATTGTAATATACATTTTTAAAAATAATCTTCCCATATAATCACAAAGCAAAACAAGCAGAATATCCATCATTGATACAGAAACAATGACTGTGTACTTTTAACATAATAATATTCAGGTATTTTTTAATGACTATTTAAACCAATTTTTAATTATATATGTTACACTTAACAGTTGAAAAAAATACTGGCTCTATCTACCTACTACTTTTACTACAAAACATGATAACTTGTGTATTCTTCCTAACAGCACAATTATAAGGATAGAAACACAAAAGATATATACTAGATTGGTGAAGAAAGCATCAGAAAAATTTCTTCAGCCTTGGTTTATTGTCTTTTTATTTTCCTTTGCATATACACTGCAGTTGATTGGTTCCTCTTACATTATCCTTTCACTCTATTCCTGGTTAAAGACCTTTTGGGCATCAGGGCAATGACAGGTATACCATATTATCTACTGATGCTACTGAATTGGCCTAAATTACAGGTAAAAAAAGAATGAAATACTTGAGGTTAACGAAAGATACACAGAAACCGAGGCAGAGTTAAAAAAATATATATATATATATGAAAAGTGGTTGTATTCTACCTATAATTATCAGGAAACTGAAGCAGAGGTTCCTATCTGTACTTTAAACCATTAACACAGGATCAAAAATCAAGTCTGCAGCTCACTAATTATCAGGCTTTATGATTTTATTTTTTGGAATAAAGCTCAGTGTCATCTCTAACTAGTTTTAGACACCATATTTAATTCCAATGGAGAACTTATTTACCATCTGCATCTACAGCAGTTAAGAATGGCAAAGCTTTCTTTACTCCCTCATAAAGAGCCAGGATTGGGGGTGGGGGGGCAAAACCAAAGTTTCCTGTGTCTATACTCATGATTCCCACTGCCTCCCCAACCCTCCACCCCCTCCCCATAAACACTAGCTTCACAGAGAACCAAGAGACTACAGTCATGCGCTGCATAACGTCCATTCGGGCAACATCCAAGCACATGTTATGTCCGTGGTCCCATAAGGTTTTCTTTTTTTAAAGAGAAAGCACCTTTCCTGAGCCCAAACCCCCGGAGTGAAAGACCAGTGGGGCTCCAGGGCGCATCCCAATCCCTGCAGTGTCTCTTCCTCCCCCTAGCTTCATTCACCCACCCAGCAGCCATGTAGCTGTTCACTCCCTGCACAGCTGGCGTGGGTGCCAGCTGGGCCCAGGGGCTTGTGGGCTCCCAGCTCCAGGTGGCTGCACATCGTCAGGATGCGGCTGCATCAACAGGGCAGTGGCAGCCAGGGTGTGCCACTGTCAGCTGCACTCCCAGCACCCACACACCCACTCACCACTCAGTCACTGCCCTGCACCCAGAGGTGCACAAAATCTGGCCAGCAACTGCACACACTGCAAGGCTGGCCACCAGTATCCAGTGAATACACCTGGGGGGTAGCCAGCAGAGAGGGCTGCGGGGCCTGGGCTGCTCCTGCTTCTAAGGGTGGTGAAACAGTGGGCGGGCTGGGAGCATAACCCGGGGACTACCTGTATACAATGTGGTGTTCGCACAGCGTCCAAACTGCATAACATCCTAATTCACAGAACATATTGTAGACGTTAAGCAACGCATGACTGTACAGTCATCCCATAAAAGACAATTTTAACTTATCTCCTGACTCTTTGTACACCCACCTTCGCCAAACACACAGAACAATCAGTGTGTTGTTCGGCAAAGAAAATAAAGACGGTAAAATGAGGGCTCACAGAACACTTACTATTTTTAAGTCAAAATTCTAATATAGCATCAGGGTGTCAATTCATTCAAATTTTAACCTATTTGAGAATGTTCAAGCTATTGTTTAAAAGCATGATAGTACTTTTTCATTAACTTTAACCTCCTTATATCCTCTTAATTGCTCATGCTAACAGCTTTGTTGCATACTACTGCTTCTTATAAGAAGTAAATCCAGGGGCCATTCCACTTTATCTTAGATATAGTATTTACTAGTTTTCCAAGCATGACAGAATGGAAAAATATATGTATTAGAACAATTTATATTAATTTTCACAATCTGTGTTCCTTCTGTGAGCAATGCCTGATTCTATTAAAATTAACAAATTTCAGTTCAGTCCTATGCTTGAAAAAAAAACCAATGAGGGGCTAATTTACAAAGTATACAAGAATGTAATTTTATAATAAATCTTTCCAGTGTTTGCTATAACTGCATTACATGAAATGTTTCCCTTCACAGAAACACAGAAGGATAGCTCTTATAAAATGAAACAAAACTTTCTGTGTTCGTCTCTGGCAAGCAATGAAAAAATACAACTTGCTCACAAAAGGATCTAAAAGTGCTGCCTCAGGAGCATACACTACCGCTAGCATGCTGTATGAATGAGTGTTAGTGAGTGGCTACTATGTGGGAACTCTTCCTCTCTTCTCACACCAGTGAACCCATTTCATATAAAGCCTAAGAGAAAACTAAAGCCATTGCAAATGTGAAACTCAGCATGCTTCACTCAAATACTTCTAAAATAACCATTCTAAAGCAAAATTGGCAGACATCACCTCTTACAAAAAAAAAAACAAAATAAAAAACACAAACCAAAAGGCAAATACTGCTGTTCAGTCATCAGATGGACTTACAAAGGCAAAAAAATGTGACAACAGCAGCAGTTCAAGTAAAAATTTAAACACGCCCACTTTCAAGTTAAGACAAAAGTGAAGGGGAGCTATGATCTTTGTATCAGAGTCAAAAAGCTTAGGCATTATCACCATATGTTAATTCACTTTACAGTCATCAATGAGACTAGCATATATATTTTTGCACCTTGCGCTTGTAAAAGCAGATAAAATATTTAATATGTAATTTACAATGTATTTTACTAGCTCAGCATAAAGGATGTATATAGATTATATCAAAGTAGTAGACAGTTAGGGGCCTGTGCAAACCCTGCAAAAATAGTACTTCAGGTATCTGCTAATTAAAAAAACAAACACAAAAACAGTTTGCTGTTCAGAAGTGATACAATTAAAACTACCACAAAATACAAAGGGCTGCAAAAATGTGTATCATTCCAACAACATATATAAGTTATTAAATAAAAATTTGATTTAAAAGAATATAAATGAAGCCTTTAAGTAGGTCTTTTCTACATGCATATTATTTCTCATTAAAGAAAAAAATATGTAAAAAGGCCATTGGTAATTGCTTTGTTAACATTTGTAGAAAATGCCAATTCTCTGGTCACAAATTCCACTAGGCTTAGCACTTAAGGTCTCTGCAGTGTTATAAACGTAATTTAAAATACTGTTAATTCTATAACTCCATTGGTAAAATAACGTGACTTGGAATATGGCAGTCTTCATGTCGAGGGCAATGATCCACAGTTTGTGCGTGTGTGTGTGTGTGTTTTAATTTCTTATGTGTGAACAGTTATCCAGAAGAACAGCACCCTCCGCCACCACTCTGAGCTTGAGGTTCATCGTCGATAATCTGTACACCTCGCCTTGCAGCCCCTGGTTGACTGGAGCCATTGCCTTTTGCTCTCTCATCCACTTGTGCTGTTTCTATCATCCCTAAGAAAGGGAAAAAGCAGAAATTATTAGGACCACAATCTTCGACTTTTGTTTCTGTAATTTCAGAATAAAACCATGATAGATAGTTCTGACTTTCAACCAATAAGGAAACTAAAATGTAGTAAAGGTTTTGTCAGGTCACTTAATAGCTTTACCTGCGAGTTTTCAAAAAATTAGTATCATGCAGCAAGTGTATTTGTCCAGTGGTATGATCACAGTGACATCAATACAGAAGAAAATTTTTTGCTATGAACAAATGACAATATATAAGAATTATCCTTAAGATTTTCCAAACATACTTAGAAACATGTCTTCTAAGAAGTTAAAATCATTTTAAGTACAAGAGATTTTAAGGTACAGGATTTACTCTTCTACTAAGAATGTAACACTTTCAAGCAATGCCATTTGAAAAGAATGAGTTTGAGAGGAAAAAAAACAAAGCTGGAGGAATCCATCTGATTTTAAAAATTAGTATATAAAGCTATATCAATCAAGACTTTGATATTGGTGAGGGGAGAGACACAGAGATCAATGGAACAGAAAACAGAGTCTAGAAACAGACCCATGTATACAGTCACTTGATTTCTGACATATGTGCAAAGGTTATTTAATGGAGAAAGGATAATCTTTTCAAGAAATAGTATGAAATAAATATGTAAAAAATAAACCACAACCCATACCTCGTTACCATACACAAAAATTAACCAAAAATGAATTAGAGCTAAATGTAATACCTAAAACATAAAATTTATAGAAAAAAACACAGGAAAAAAATCTTTGTGACTCTGGGTTAGGCAAAGATTTCTCGGATTAAGACACAAAAACATAAACCATAGAACAAAAATTGATAAAATGGACTGCACCAAAATTTAAAACTTCTGCTCTTTGAGACACACTGTTCAGAAAAATGAAAATAGAAGACACAGACTGACAAAAAATATTTGTGAAGTACCTATCTGATAAGGAAGTAACTGAAGGAGTCCTTAAAACAGAACAAGGGTTCTGAAATTTGAGTTCAGAGACTGTCTCGAATAATGGTTTTCAAATTAAGGTGTGGAAGGCAATCCACTAAGAAAATATTACAAATTCTATTTCTACTTATTTTTCCTTAATCTTTCAAAATTTCTGTATAAAGTATACTTAATACTTGTATATGGCATATAATTTTTAAATACATATAAAGGGAGTACTCCATTTTTTTTTTTAATGAAAATGTGAGATTTATAAACAATCAAGAATCATGCTACTTAAAGTATGGTCCAAGGACCTGCATCATGACCACCTGGAAGCTTGCTAGAAATGAGACTCCTAAGCCCACACTGGACCTACTAAATCAAAACATGCATTTTAAACAAGACCTCCAAGTGATTTATATGCACACCTTAAAATCTGCAAAGCACCAATGTATAGCAGTGATTCTCAAGATTTAGGATGCATCAGAATCATATGGAGGGTTTGTTAAAACAGATTCTGGGCACCATTCCCAGAAACTCTGATCCAATAGAGGTTTGGGGTAGGGCCGAAGAATTTGCATTTCTAACATGTTCTCAAGCGATGATGGTGCTACTGGTCAAGGACCTCACTTTAAGGATCATTGATCTAGAATTATGAATGACCTTCAGCGATTCATAAAACTCCTGAAAGTTACTTCAAAGTTTGTGTATACGTCCGTTTTTCAGGAGAGGAAAATAGTGTTTCATCAAAGTCTCAAGAGTGTCCAAGGTCCATACATTCAATGACTACAATGTGACAAAGCCATTTTAATCCATTATTCCATAGACTAGAGTTTCCCTAAATATGGTACGCATTCTATTGGTGATATGAGAGGTGACTTTCAGGTTGTATGTAGGAAAAAAAAAGCTTATTTTCATTTCTTTTTAAAAAAATTTTTTTTAATATGGAAAATTTCACACACATATAAAAGTAGAAAGAATAGCATGATGAAAACCCACGTCTATCAACCAGTTTCATCTATGTTGCCGTCGATTGCTGTCAAGTCGGTTCCGACTCATGGTGACTCCCTGTGTGCAGAGCAGAACTGCTCCACAGGGTTTTTCAAGGCTGTGACATCACTTTCGGAAGCAGATCACCAGGCCTGTCTTCCAAGGTGTATCTGGGTGGGTTCAAACCACCAACCTTTTGGCCAGTAGTCAAGCACTTAAACATTTGCACCACCCAGGGACTCTATTAAAAAACAAACAAACTTGTTGCCGTTGAGTCAATTCTGACTTACAGCAACCCTACAGGACAGAGTAGAACTTTCCCATAGGGTTTCCAAGGAGTGGCTGGTGGATTCAAACTGCTGACCATTGGGTTAGCAGCCAAGCTCTTAACCACTGTGCCACCAGGGCTCCATAACTCCATTTATTCCCATTATTATTTTCAAGGAAATCCCAGACATATATAATTTCATTTGTAAATTATTTTGTTTCTCTAAAAGATAAAAAGCTCTTTGTTTAAGCATAATCACACCACCATAATCACACCTAAAAAAATAAACAATAGTTTCTTAAAATCAACAAGTGTTCATAATTCCTAGTTGTTTTATAAATGTTCTTTTTCTCTAGTTTGTCAAATCAGGATCCAGAAAAAGCCCATTCGCTGCAACAGGTTGTTATATTTCTTAAATTTGTCTTTATATATCCCACTTCCATTTTTACTTTCAAAAGTGATGCATTTATTTTAATGCATTTAGTGAGTATCATACATATGATTTCAATGCCATTAATTACTGTTTGAAACATGGCTACAGCAGGTATTTAAGCTTTAAAAAGTGAGTTAATTTAAAGAAAAAATATGAAGTAAATAATAGCACCAAAAAATATGAAAAGTTTTCAATGTGGTCATTAACAGAGGTTGGTAAAACATCACTTTAGGAATACTACCAATATTTTAAAAACACATTAAATCTAAATATACCTACTTTTACAAAGGTCAAGAAAGAGTTCTTCAATTCCTTTGTTCTGTTTGGCTGAAGTATGATAATGTTTTGCTCCCACAGATTCTGCATACCTAAAAAAAAAAGGTAACTTTGGTGACTGGTGTTTAAGTTTTTTCATGTTTTGTCATGACTGCTATTTATACTTTTTACAGTAGCAATGTTTGTGACTTACTATATTAACCCAAGTTCAGAGAAATAAGATTAGTTGTTTAACATATTTCTATAAAATGAACCAAATTTTATGTAAGAGTACAAATCTAACAAGATTTGAAATTTTTATAGATTAATTTGGAGCCCAAATACTTTAGCAATGTTTGTGACTCACTACCTATTTGATCCTGATGGTTTTCTTTTACATCACTCTTGTATTTTTTTACTGAAATAAAACAGCAAAGAATGGAATGTCTTTAAAATAGTGCCAAAAGCCCAGAAATTACCAATGTAAACACGCTTCTCTGAATCCAACAGATCAGTCTACATTAAGAGTTTGAGACTACCTGAATGTTAAAGCATGATGTGCAAAGAGGAAGATCCAAACGTCTACTAGGGAGTGATGGGGGCATAACACTTACGATTCTGCTTCTTGAATGGAAACGTGTCTCTCCTTTTCCAAGTCTATTTTATTACCTAATTTGGGAGGGGGAAAATCAATCTTTAATACTGATTAATTATTTATAAGCAAAAATGAAATTAAGCCAACTCATAATATACAACTGCCATTCTGATCACCTGTAAAAATACAAATCCCCAATCTGATTTCTAAATATCCTATAACTATAAAGTCAATGATGTGTGGGTTGATCATGGCTGTCAAGATAAATGCCTTCTCTTCCTTCAAATGGTTTAATAGTATCTCTCCTGAAGGTGCACCCTCTGTCAGAGGAAACAACTTTTCCAAAGAGAGGAGCACTATTCTTTGATTTAGCGTATATCATGAACTAAGACTTCCTAGGAAACCTAGTGGATAAAGCAATAATTCTTAGCCAAGTGAAAATGGTAAAAAATAACGGCAAGAATTTTCTATAGTCCTCAATCAACTTAAAAACCTGTTGCTGTCGAGCTGATCCTCACTCACAGTGACCTTTTAGGACAGAGAACTGCCCCACAGGGTTTCCAAGGAGAGGCTGGTAAATTCGAACTGTCAACCTTTTGGTTAGCAGCAACAGCTCTTAACCACTGCACTACCAGGGCTCTAGTCAACTTAGAGACAGTCAATAATTAAGGAAGGCTATCTTACCGGTTACTAAAATACATTAGGTTAGCCTCTTGGTTCCTAAGAGTACTCCGGTTTCCTGGCTGATATAAACTGGGTAAAATAAGAATTAAAATGTCTGGATTTTTAAGCACTCCACCACCATGAGGGGAAAAACTGTTTGAAAGACGCTAGAGAATTTAAGATGTGTGTATCATGGACATTCAAAATTACTGAAAATAAGTTTAACTTTCCTTAAACAATGGCACCAAACTGAGATTACTCTAACAAGCCAATAGAACAATGAAGGAGATTTCATGTGCTGTAATAATGTCTCTTTATCTTGCTGCTGGTCACACAGGTGTATTTAGTTCACGAAATAAATTTATAGATTAAAAAAAAGCCAGCAGACAAAAATGAAAGAACTGCAAAATGCAGATTCCTTACTGAATAGGAGACAGAAGTTAAGCTGACTTGGTTAAAAACACAGATTGCTAAAGGTATTGGAAATAACACATAGGAATGGGAAAAATACCCCAAAGAAGGACACTTGAAGCAAATATTTTCATTTTTTTCTATTATGATTTTTAGGGAGGAAAAAGGCAACACTATAAATGAGGTCATTTTTTCTTGGGACCTTACAGAGTCCAGAAGACAATTTCAGATATAGATATTTCCTAAACACTGAAGTAAGCATCCAATAAAAAATGCAATGCCTGGACTGAAAAGTTCAAGCCCAGGGGTTCTGTGTACTGAAGACCTCAAATAATTTAAGCATCTAATTGCTAGCAGCTGCAGGAACTATTTGAAACCCATAGCCTCAGGTTGCAAGAGAGGGAAGTAGACTATATATACTAAAGCTCAGCTGGTACCGACAAACTCAGTAATGAACTCTTCCTTCTTTGAAGAGTTATCTGTCCACCTCTGCAAGAAGTTCCATATTGGTTCTCATGTCCTATTTTTGTCAAAAAAATTTTAATTTGCTAAATATTATAGCCAAGTTCTTTGTTCTGTGCTGCAAAGAATGCAAAGCACACCACCTAGTGGCCAGTGACCCAAGCAACAGAGGCACAAGATTCTTTCACACTAAAGAGATAAAATAAGATTGTCCCTACAGATGGCAAGGAGGCTTTTGTTCAAATTAACTAAAAATGGTTTTGTTTTTTGGTTTTTTTTAAGATTTGTAATACCTCTTGTTCCAAATTCCACTAGAATCACCAATCCCTATTGAAAGAATAAGGATAGGGAAAGCACGCAATCACCTCAGGGCCTCAAATGAACACTTGGGAGAAATTATTCAGACACTGCTTTATTATTTAATTATATTTTAATAAGTTGTTAGATTATTATTAAAACGTATTTTCATAACAACTATTACTTTAAACAAACTAATCTGTCAGTGAATGTCTTTTCAAAACTCAATCTTTTTTAGCTTTCATATCCTTTTAAAAGCAAAGCAGCTAAGAGATTAAGGCTCACACTTGTTTCAATACTAGAGTACAGCTGAGATAGTGCTGGGATGAGAAAAAAGCATGTGTGGCAATTCATTTTGTGAAAATTTATTTTGCAGTTAAGATTTGTGCACTTTTTTATATATATTTCTTACATAAAAAGTTCTAAGGTCACACTGAGTTTGATTTCAGTCTAAATGTGAGAAAAATACTTTATCAAAATTAGTAAAAACATAGCTGCCTTTCTGAAAACAACATTGAGTTACCATCAAAAGTCTTCATGCAACAGTAACATGATTATCTACATGAGATTGTGGTATCCCATTAAACTTGGTAAGTTGTTCCCAAACACCAGTGTATGTAGAGGCTAAATCAGTATTACAGCACAGTGCCTGGCACAAAGGAGCCACTCATAAATATCTGTGGAAGAAAAGGTGGAATGAAAAGAGAAAACTAATCAATTCCTAGTCCCATGCATAGAGGTTCTGATTTAGAATACCTGGGATGAGGCCTGTTGAAAGTTTCCCAGGTTATCCTAAGGATAAGCCAAGTCTGGGAACAAGGGACTAAGTTGGCTCTCAAATTTCTCCCTACTATGAATGCCAACAAAATTCCATGTCACACTTGCCAACAGGAAAAAAAGAGAGAGCTTTTTATATTTCATACTAATAACTAATAAACATTAAATAAAATTAAATGAAGAATATTTGACTATACTTGAGGTAATAAGCTACTAGAGCCAACATTTCTAAACTTTTCTATTATATGAACATAAAGAACATGAAGTTTAAATGAACAATTTATAAACTTATGTAACCCAGCTAATTTTTAATTAATGTTACTCTGTGACCTTGGTCAAGTAACAGGCTTCTTCAACTTTCTCAAGTATATATTAGTCATTTCTCTTTCCCTCTTCTGAGAGATGCTCAGAATTCCAAACAGTCAAATCTTCAGTCATTCATCTACTATGGTCAGCAAGTCCAACACACCAGATAAAGCCAGACAAAACTTACTAATGACTAGCTGAAGTTTTGGCCCCAAATTCCAACGTGCTCTCTTACCCTAGAAATATTCTCACCATCAAGTCTAACACACAGCGTCTAGACTAAAAAGCAGGCCAAATCATCCACCTCCTTGGCCTTTTCACCACAGACTTGTACCCTGATCTGTGACTGTTACGTTTACCAATCTAAGGGCGACAAGACGCAGGAAAAGTAAACTCAAGTTTAAAAAAAAAAATACTCAAGGCTAAAAACAAAATTTTCCCAAGCTGACCATTCTTTTCTTTCATTTCCCCAAATTTGTCTGCTGTCCACTAAAACTACCCTGGTTTCTTCCAAGCCATTGTTATTATATCAGCCATGTAAAAAGGAAGAAAACAGAATATGGTTATACATCATTAAGGCTTAATAACATAAGCATACGGGCAGGGACTGACTCCAATTCAACTCCCATCTCTGAGAGCTGGGTGATATTGGGCAAGTTATTATTTACAAGGGTCAGCTTAGCTTCCTCTACAAAGCCCTCATAGGGTTATGAGGATTACATGAGATAATGTGTAATGAGTAAATAGCATAGCATCTGGTATACTTTTATTGTTGTTAGGTGACACTGAGTCAGTTCCAACTCACAGCGACCCCATGCACAACAAACAAACACTACCTGGTCCTGTGCCATCCTCATGACTATTGCTATGCCTGAGCCCATTGTTGCTGCCACTGTGTCAGCTGATCTTGTTGAGGGTCTGCCTGTTTTTTGCTGACCCTCTACTTTACCAACTATGATGTCCTTCTCTAGGAACTGATCCCTCCTGATAACATGTTCAAAGTCTGTGAGATGTAGTCTCGCCATCCTTGCTTCTATGAAGCATTCTGGTGGTACTCCTTCCAAGACAGATTTGTCTGTTCTTTTGGCAGTCCATGATATACTCAATATCCTTTGTCAACACCACAGTTCAAAGGCATCAATTCTTCTCTGGTCTTCCTTACTCACCGTCCAGCTTTCGCATGTATATGAGGCAACTGACAATACCATGGCTTGGTTCAGGTGCACCTTAGTCCTCAAGGTGACATTTTTGCCTTTCAACACCTTAAAGAGGTATTTTGCAGCCAATCTGCCCAATGCAGTTCATCTTTTGATTTCTTGACTGCTGCTTCCATAGGCACTGACTGTAGATCTAAGTAAAATGAAATCCTTGACAATTTCAATCTTTTCTCCATTTATTATGATGTTGCTTGTTGGTCCATTGTGAGGATTTTTGTTTATGTTGATGTACAATCCATACTGAAGGCTGTGGTCTTTGATCTTCATTAGTAAGTGCTTCAAGTCATTTTCAGCAAGCAAAGTTGTGTCATCTGCATACTGCAGGGTGTTAATGAGTCTTCCTCCAATCCTGCTATCCCATTCTTCTTCATACAGTCCAGCTTCTCAGATTATTTGCTCAGCATACAGACTGAACAGGTATGGTGAAAGGATACAACCCTGATGCACTTTCCCTGACTTTAAACCATGCAGTATCCCCTTGTTCTGTTCCAATGACTGCCTCTTGATTCATGTTCAAATTTCTCATGAGCACAATTAAGCGTTCTGGGATTCCCATTCTCTGCAATATTATCCATAATTTGTTATGATCCACACAGTCTAATGCATTAGTATAGTCAATAAAAAACAAGTAAACATCTTTCTGGTATTCTCTGCTTTCAGCCAGGATCCATTTGACATCAGCAATGATATTCCTGGTTCCACATCGTCTTGTAAATCCGGCTTGAATTTCTGTCAGTTTCCTGTCGAAAAACTGCTGCAGCTCCTTTTGAATGATCTTCAGCAAAATTTTGCTTGCATATGATATTAATGATATTGTTTGATAATTTCCACATTCAGTTGGATCACCTTTCTTGGGAGTAGGCATAAATATGGAATCTCTTCTAGTCAGTTGGCCAGGTAGTTGTCTTTCAAATTTCTTGACATAGACGAGTGAGCACTTCCAGAGCTGCATCCGTTTGTTGAAACATCTCAGTTGGTATTCTGTCAATTCCCAGAGCCTTGTTTTACGCCAAGCCTTAGGTGCGGCTTGAACTTCTTCCATCAGTACCATTGGTTCCTGATCATACGTTACCTCCTGAAATGGATGAACGTCAACCAATTCCTGCACTGTTTAATATTTTCCCCATAGAATCCTTCACTATTGCAACCCGAGGCTTGAATTTTTTCTTCAGTTCTTTCAGCTTGAAGAATGCTGAGCGTGTTCTTCCCCTTTGGTTTTCTATCTCCAGGTCTTTGCACGTGTCATTGTAATACTTTGTCTTCTCGAGCTGCCCTTTAAAATCTGCTGTTCAGCTTCTACTTCATCGTTTTTTCCTTTTACTTTAGCTACCTGACGTTCAAGAGCAAGTTTCAGAGTCTCTTCTGACATCCATTTAGGTCTTTTCTTTCTCTACTGCCTTTTAACGACCCGTTGCTCTCTTCATGCATGATGTCCTCGATGTCATTCCACAACTCATCTGGTCTTGGGTCATTAGTGTTCAACGCGTCAAATCTATTCTTGAGATGGTCTCTAAATTCAGTTGGGATATACTCAATATCGTGCTTTGGCTCTTGTGGACTTGTTCTAATTTTCTTCAGTTTCACCTTGAATTTGCATATGAGTAATTGATGGTCTGATCCACAGTCAGCCTCTGGCCTTGTTCTGACTGAATACCGGTGGCATAGCTTCCAGCATCACAGCAATGCACAAGCCCCCACAGTATGACAAACTGATAGATGCATGGGGAACCAGAGAGAAATTCCAAAAGTTCAAGAATGAGTTCTAGAGTTCCTTTATTCCTCCCATTAAGAATATTTCTCCACCCTAGCATCATGATCTAATTGTATCCTTGGAGTAAAATTTGTCTTTGACTGAAAAATGTGTATAGTTAAACGTATAAAACAAGAACACTGGCTTAAGTCACTGGTTTTAATTTATTTTAAAGTAGTTCCTGCACTGTTTATTTCTAATCAAAATCTTATGTTAAAAAGTAAAGGTCTAGTTGAAGCAATGCTCAAGGACTTGAAGCCTCATGTTTTTACCTTCTCCCTTGCTCTCCAGGGCATCCCTTGAAGTATAGAGTTTGAATCTCCCAGAAAATAACAGTCAAATCCTAAAGTATTCTAAAATATTAAACACCATGCTTTTTCCTTTCTCATATAATGTTAAAATGAAAAGTACTTTTTAATATTTCTTTAGGAAAACATTCAGGAAATAAATGATATGTATATATTTTAAAAATAATTATGCTTACCAACTATACATAAACAGATTTCATTTCCCAACATTTTCCGTAATTCTTTGACCCAGTTTTTTACCTGTGTATACAAAAGAGCAGATATTAAAACAAATCCTGTTATAGCAACTACCATTACAACACCCTAAAACCTAACATTGTCAGAAAATTTCAGAATTGTATCCAGCAGCTATATATTTAGTTATTATAAGGAATAATTCACTGTAGAATCACTACCAGCTTATATTGTAAACCACACACACACACACACACACGAATCTCTCTCTATATATCTATAAATGGATACACACAGAAGCACCTCTAATTAAAAGTTTTCATAAATCTTCCAGAGATCCAAGTAAAAGCAATTTACCAGAGTAACATCTTATCAATTCCAGCCTCTGGAGATACTTGGATAGAGACACTTTGGATTTAGAAATACATGGCTGAAAGCAGTCTTTTGAACCATAATTTGCTGCTAAATAGTAGGTGTAGGAGCTTCCGTGTTAAACAGTTAAAGAAAAAAAAAATGTATATGAGCACCAAAAAAAGAAAAGGGTAGCAAAATAAATTTTCATCATTGAGTGTGTAACAGGGTTTCTCAACTACAACATCATTGTCATTTTGGCTCAGATAATTTCTTTGTTGTGGGGACTGTCCTAGTATGCAATGTACAATGTTTAGCAACGTCCTTGGCCTCTACCCACTAGACACCAGTAGCACCTCTCCAATAGTGACAACCAAAAATGTCTCCAGACATTGTCAAATGTCCCCTAGCAGGCAAAATCACCCCCTAGTTGAGAAGCACTGGTATACGCTATCTCCAGTAACAAACTAATTCCCATTATGGATCAAGCACAGCAGTAGGAAGAGCTGGGAATAAACTGGAATTAGGTAAATCAATCTTTTGACTCATGACTTTAAATACTGTGATTATAAAAAAAATTCCAGGATAAAGAACAAACTTGGACACTTTTCATTTTTGTAACAGAATTTAATTTATATGTAATCAAATTACACAGAATTTACACAACTTCCTAAAAAAAATGCATACGCATCTATAAATACAACACTACATTAGATCTGTGGTAAGCACTTAGTGGGCATCTGGTTCTATGGTACAAATGTAACAGTTCCACACTCCCATGCTCTGCAAGAATGCAGAGGAACTGTCTTTAATAAACCACAAATCCTTATAAAAGGTAATCAATATCACCATTTTATAACAGCAATGAACGAAGTTTTCTAATGTAGCCCCATCTTTTTGTTTCACTCACATTTATATATAAAGTTCTCAGCAAACCATTTAAGTACCATCTTAGTTGATAGTACTGGTATAAATTGTACGTCCTCATTACCTCAAAAGAAATATGCCCAAATCCAGTAATGTTATTACTCTACTCTCCGCACATGTAATACCACAATTTACTAATCTAACCAATTTTTTTAAAATTTGTTATTCATCTCCAATTAGATCCTACCTATTCACTACACCCATATATTTTGTGGTGATTTAAAGATGGCCACAAATTCTTTACCACTCATGAATCTGAGCTAGCCTTGTAACCTGCTCTGACCAAGAGAATGTGGCAGAAGTGATCCTGTGCAGTTCTAGACCTAAGTCTAAGAAGGCCTGGCAGCTTCTGCTTTCACACTCTTGGGATGCAACTGTCATATAAGAAGCTTGGGCTAGAATACAGAATAACGTGAGTACTTGTGGAAAGAATCCCTGGAGAATAAGATACCCATGGATGAGAAGCCACATGGATGAGAACCAGGCCTTCTTAGATGGTCCAGTGACAGCCAAGTTCCCAGTTCACTACAGCTACACGAGCGACCCCATTGAGACCACACGAAGCAGAGAAACTGCCCAGTCAACCCACAGAATAGTGAGAAATAATAAACTGTTGTTTTAAGGCATCAATTTTGGGAGATTTGTTACACAGCAATAAGTAACTTTTCAACCTAAAAGACTCATCCTTCTCTTAATAAAAACTAAAACCATTTCTTTTCATGCATAAAATCAGAAAGGAATTACAAATAGCACCAAACAGCAGCTCCAAAATAGTTTTAAAGAATCATTAGCTCTGCAAGCTACTTGTTTTCATTTTTCTACTCCTTGTACTAAGTTTTTCTCCTCATCAATAATAATCCAAGGGCTAACATATATCTGCTCCACCAGATTCAACTGGAAAAACAAACTAGAAAGGCAATCAATTTCAGCATGAACAAACCTATAACTCAAGGCTAGAAAAGCTTCTGCCTTGGAAATTACCCTCTTTAGTTATACATCCCTGACTTATTTGAAAAGGGCTTTTAGGAGGACAGGTCAGATAAGTAACCCATCCTGACTGTGAGAATTCAGAGATAAGTTTACTGGCAACTCATTTTTGATCTCGAGTAACTTTACAAGTCCTGTACTTGCAGTGTACATCAGAAGAAGGGTGAAAAAACAGAGAAGCTTTAAAATAATATCTAGCCTGTTCCTTTAAAATTTATATTATAGTCTCCAGGATATTTAAGAAGAAGAAAGGGCTTAAACTTAGTTCAGTTCCTCCCTTTTCCTCTTCACAGTTAAGAGAGCCTGTGCAGCCACACTAAGTCTCCAGGTACCCAGTGGGTGTGTAACAAAGAAATGTTTGTGATTTTTTTTTTAACAGGGAGAAAAAAAAAGTCCCTATATTTTTCTGAAGCTTTATTTCTAAACATGATAATTTCACTTTCCTAATTTCTGAGAAAATGTGCAATAAAGTATTAATAACTCTAATATGAATTTAAAAATATGAGTGTCACCATTTATGTATAAAAACTATATACTTCACTTTTAAAAACAAGATTAATCACATTAGTGAACAAAGGCATGTTAATGGAGACTTGAAAAATCAGTGTTGTTCTTCTGATTAAGTCATCTACCCATAAGTAAACAGAATACCTTCTGAAAAGAATCTTCATCTGTTATGTCATAAACTAAAATAGCTCCATTTGAATCTCTGTAGTAAATTGGACCCAACGCATGAAATCTCTCTTGACCTGCTGTATCCTAAATAAAGCAACAAACACGTATTAGATCAGAAGAAAAAAATATATCTGGTACATTTCAACTATGGTGAACTTATGTCTAATTGGGAAGTAGGGCATGGAGTCACAGATAACCCAAAACACTGTTAAAAGAAACAAAACAAGGTACAGAAAAATTTTAAGAGCCAAATTATAGCCAATATTTAATGCTTTATTATTATACAAACATAATTTCTCCCCTCTCAACCTCCTTCCTCCTCAGCAACCTCCCCAACCCCACTGAAAAACCAGTTCAGATGCCAGAGAAACACAATGACCAGCACTATAAGCCAGCTGCCCATGGAACAGGCCCTGCCTTAAACTTAGATTCCCCGAAGAGGTGGGAGATAAGGAAAGGCAGGCTGTTGGCCCATTCGGTCTACTATCTGAAGTGGAAGCCCTCTGACTTGACCCTTCCCAGATGAAAAGTTACAATACCAATATTCAAATATTAAATTCTTTTCAAGATACAAATTCTAAACCAGATTTTAGAAAAAATGGTTTTTTTACCCCTAATCCCGACCAAAAAAAAAAAAACTTTTGGCTAACTTTCAGTTAACAATAACAGCAACAAAATAAATCCAAAAATTAAAATTCTGATTCTGTGAGCCAATTAGTTATTAGAGAACCAAGAACAGGCAGAAACCTCCACTCATATAGTTGAAAAGATTAACTTACCCATATGGCAAGGTTTACTCTTTTCCCACCAATATTTAACTTCTTTGTTAAGAAAGATGCCTAAGAAAAAAGAAAGATACATCAAACAATATTTCATATAAAATAATGTTTCTGATCTTGACAACTATATGACAGCTATATATGTATGAATCATACCAATGTGAAACTCAAGCTATCTGGGAGAAAAAGTGATCAATAAGCTTTTATTAATGACCAAACATTTTCACTGAAGACAGATTATTGACATTCTTATCTAAGAAAAAGATATTTTAGTTTATGAACTCAAATCATAAAAATACAAAGAAAAAGGTAATTAAGTACTTTTTATTAGTTTTTCCCCTATATATGCAGAGTAAAATTTTTCTTAGAGCATTTAATTTGATGCCACCCTAGCTACTCACTACAGAAAGAAAGAGTCTGATTTCTAAGACATATAAAATATGTTTACTGGTGGTTTATTTAACCATATGAATACCAATATTATTCAAAATGTTTCTGCAATTATTTAATAATTCAATTATTTGATATACACAGTATTTAATAACTGTCCTAGGTACCAATGTCACAGATATGAAAGGACATAGTTCCAGCCTTCAAGGAGCTTAAAGTCTACTGGAGAACTAAAAATGTAAAAAAAAATTCAATACTAAGTGATAAATGATAAAATGAAGAGTCTTGCCAAGTATACTCGAAGGAGAGTGCTAAGAAAGGAAATGCAAAGCCTGGCTGAAACCTTCAAAGAGAAAGGGATGATCTCTCCTTTTGTAGGTTTTTCCTGACAGATGGGTGAAGCCACTGAAGCCTGAAACACATGACCCCACCCCTCCACCCTATAGGGAACTCGAAGTTGGTAAGGTCAATACCAGAGGTGAGATCACAAAAATAAGCAAAGGCTGATTCAAAAAGGTCCTAGAATTCCATGTCTAGTAGTGTAAACTTTAGCTTGTGGGTCTTAATGAACATGTCTCAAAACATTAAACACATACCAAAAAAGTATTACAGTCAGGTATATTTGGCAAATGCTGCATATTGTTCTGTAGCCCCTTTTTAGATTCACACGCACATTAGTACAATGGAAGCTGGTTAATTGCATCTATCCCAGCATTTCCCAAATTCATTTGACCACAGAGCTTCTTTTTTCCTGGAGAAATACCTATTGTATCCTAAGGAATAACTATTAAGAAATAGTACTGTTGACAATGGAGAATACTGAAGGGTTTTAAGCAGCAGAGAAATAGTAATATTTGTATTTCAGAACACAACTCTGGGATAGAAGTGGAGATTGGTCTGGAAAGGACAGGACTAGTCTTGGGAGATAGAAGGCTTCTATAAAATTAGAGAGAAAAACAAAAAAGGCCTGAACTAAGACCATAAAGAAAGAAAAGAGAGAAGAGAATCAAGAATTAATGAAGAGGAAATGTTCTCCGAACCCAGAGAATGAGTTGGCATACTTAAAAAGAAACAGAAAGCAGAGTTCAGAGACATATATAGTTACATTTGGGTGTTATCTATTAGCACAAAAAGGAGCCCTAGTGATGCAATGATTAAATGCTCGGCTGCTAACCCAAAGGTTGGTGGTTCAAACCTACCCAGCAGCTCCACGGGAGAAAAGACCTGGCAATCTGCTCTGTAAAGACTACAGCCTAGAAAACTCTATGGGGACAGTTCTACTCTGTCACACTGGGTCACTACGAGTTGATGGCACCTAACAACAACATTAGCAGAAAATACAGAGAAGGTAAGACAGATAAAAAGTTAGGATACTACGTTACTACTGAAGTAGTAGAAACCTAGATTTCAGAAAGGCCTTTTTGCTATCGGCACACCAAGGAAAATTAGAACTAAGAAAAGGCCACTGGATTGGGTGATTAACTAGAGGCTACATATAGATGAAAATGGCAGAGCTGAGACTAAATCCAGGAATGTCTACTTTCAAGGCCCAAAATATACTACTCAAGATATTTTATTAAATGAAACAAAAACTATATAGAAAAGGGTAAAAAAAAAAAAAATTAATAGCAAAAGAAACAACTTGGAAAATAAGAAGACCAAATATATGTAATGACAATAAATGTGAATAAAGGACTTCTCTCACTCATGTAAGACAGAGGCTAAGGATATGAACTTTGGAGAAGACAGACCTGGAATTGAATCTCAACTTTGCCACTTTCTAGCTGTGTAATTTATTTTACCTCAACCATTTTCATGGTTTCAATATCAATGCTATGCAGAAGAAACTCAAAATCTGAATCCTATCCAAATACTTAATGGATAGGCCAATTTAGATGTCTCTCTTCTTTCAGACGTATTTAAAACCGAACCATCTTCCCTCCAAAACTGGCTTTCCACTCCGATTTCAGTACTTTGATCATATTCTCCAAGTCACTGAGGTTTAAAATCTTAGAATGATTGAGTCTTTTCCTCCCTTGCCATTTCATACCTGCATATTTCCTCTGGGGCTCTACTACCACCAGTCTCATATTATGTCATAATGTAAAAATCTCTGGTCTCGCTTCACACTCTGCTCTGCCCTGCATGCCAGATTATCTTCACAAAGTCTCCCAGATTAAAAAAAGGGAAAAAAAAAATTTATCATAACTCACAGATGGGTTCCCTACTAAGTTTTCATTCTTAAACTATCATTTAACTATCTTTTTAAACTACATCCCTAGTGCTGGCTACTGTTATAATAAACTTTTTGTCATAGAGTTTTGTGGGGATTTCTCAACAGAGGGAAGTGCATTAGAGCTGGTAAAACTCCCGTTTTTCCTTTCTACTATCCCCTCTGAAACTTACCACCATCCTGCTATGAGGTTAACGGATAGTGTTAAGTCTCTCCTAAGGAACCATGAACATACAAAACAATTTTACGGAAAGGGTACTCATCAGTGTAGATGATAACAAAAATAAATGTAAATAACCTAAGTGTCCATAAATAGGGAATTACTGAAAAAGTATACACATATGGCTCATCTACACAGTGAAACACTACACAACCATTTCTATTACTATTGCTAATACTAGCTAACATTTATTGCATGCTTACTTTGTGCCAGGCACTGTGCTAAGCACTTTTACAAAATCATTCACAAGCTTCTCTTTAAGGTGGTAGAAGTTGGAGAGACCTAATCTAAAAAGTCTTAAAACCTTTACATCCAAGGACCTCTACAATTTGGCCACATCTATCTTCCTAAAATAGTTTCCACTATTTTTCTACTTATTCTCCAACTTACATGGTTGATTTCACATTCCCTCTGTCCGTTCATAAAATTCCCCTCTAACTAGGCCCTATTCTTTTTTTCTCTCTGAACCCCACCTACCCAAGTCCAGCTCATGACCTTTTCTTCCTTGAGTATTTAAGTTTTCTTATACTACCCACACAATCCACACTGAATTTCTCTATCCTGAAGAATTTTAGGGAACCTAATCTTGTAATATACAGCACACTGCCTTGTACTCTAAGTCATCTTCTCATGGGTAGAAGTCTTCTGTTCAACTAGATTTCGTATTTTTATATATTTAACACTTTCACAGTGCTTACAATGAACCAGTGTTCTAAGAGCTTATCATTTAATTCTTATAACACCCTGTGAGACAGATATGATTACTCAAATATTACAGACGTGAAAACAGAGACATGGGCAGTTAAGTATGTTGCCCAACATCACAAAGTAATGGAAAGAGATTTGGAATCCAAGCAGTCTGGTTCCAGACATGACTCATAACTACTATACTATGGTACCTTCCAGACTGAGGTCTGAGCTCTTTATTACTTCTTCTCTAGTAGAAGCGCAGAGAGCCATAACGTCCCTGCCCGCAGCAGATAAATATCATTATTGAAGATAAACATGACTACACTATGTGCCTAGGTAGATCAGTGTAGGCATAACTCGATTAATGTAAGAGATGTGCTTCTGTAAGTTTCCTTATACACTAAATTATTTCAACTCAAATACTTCAAACATTAGTAACACATTATCAAAGGATCCCTACTAAATCTTCCCCTCTCCCAATAATGAAAAACTTAAGCCCAATGCTATGGACAGATTCCTTCTGTGATATAAATCATTTCATTTTATATATATCTTAAGTTATAAATATTATCTTAAAGAACACTTTCTGTTTAAGAAATATAACTATATGTGAAAATAAAACTGAGAGACTTTACTTACTATCAAGATAGCAGTAAAGAGTCAAATGGCTGAAATTTATCTCTTCTTTAATCACCCTTATGAGGCATACTTAATTTAACCAGACTACTGAGATATCATTTGTATTTATAATACTTACTCTTTCTCAGTGGTTATGTGGCAGTAGGATGGCGGGTGGGAGGGTGATTATGGACTTCTTTCAGAATCTGATGAAAGCTATGAACCCCTTCACTCCAAAGAAAACTGATCATATGCATATACCAAAAACAATCTCCACACACTTTCAAGAAATTAAAAAATCCCTGGCGTCCCTGTGAAAAACTCCCCATCTAGAAAGGGGAGGGGGAAAATGGCATTAAACCCTATCAGTGCAAAAGGTTCTAGGAACACAGGAAGCAAAAAACAGTACACATTATGTGTCGAGAACTGTGCTTGGGGCTTTCTCATTTGATCTTTACAACAACTCCAGGAAGTGGGTAATTAGCCTCATTTGACAGTTGTGAACCTGAGACTTAAAGAAATACAGTGACTCACCCAAGGTCAGACAGCTCAGTCAGTGCAGTGGGTGGAAGCCTGTCTGACTCCACAGTGCTTTTCCCACTGCCACCTCTTCTAGAACACACTCACGCATTTCTTAACCTGGGACTCTTCCACTTAGATGCTAAGAGTTCCTGGACACCAACTTAACTCCCAAAACATTCTCAAAGGAACAAGGATCAAGGTAATGGTACATTTCCCACCCTACTGGTATAAACTCTGAGATACAGCATCATTACCTCTTCTGACCCCAATGATTTCATCTTCCAAACTTGAAAATTAAAAAAAAAAAAAAAAACTCATTGGCTCAGGCTGTCATCTGTCGTTTGCACTTGATACTTATTTACCAAACATCTTATCTGAAATCATCCT